GGCGGGCCCAACGACGGTGCGCAAACAGAAAACGACGGCAGCTCGCGAAAAAGTCTTTTTAAAAATGTTGCGGCACGTACGGGTGGGAAGGCACCCATTACTGTGAAGTGGCCAGTGTTGGTTTAAAGATTTAGCACCCAACGAGGAAACAGAATGGTATTAGAGCCACACGGAATTAAGTACTCGCTGGAAGAACCAAGTTACTTAATGGCAAAATTACTAATTACTTAGCTACATACACACTAAATGTGAAAATTATTTATTAAAAATACATTAAAAAGGTAAAATAACATTTTTTTTATTTCATTAGAGAAACGAAAATATAATCTTACTCGAACTTATTTTCAGTATGTGAAACAGCTAAACCGTTTATTTAAAAATTAAAGTAGTATAATTGCAATAGGTAGGCCTCCTTAACTCATCCTTCTTTCCATTCTGTCATTTCCGTCATTTCAATCCAATTCACCATCATCTTACTCCCCCTATCCTTTCTCTGCACACTAAGAAATACCATACATACTTAAAATTATATTATATACTCTAAACACAAGATATAACCGACGGATCCTTTAACCTATTTACCAAATTACTACCTTACTTAACGTCTTACGAGATGTCATCAGCAAGGATCTGAATACTCTTTAGGATTGCAAGATGTAAATTCGGCAACGATTACAGTTATAACTTTTTCCACTGGACACACATACTCATAATTACTACCACATTTATTTTAATCTGTCCATGAAAAATTTACTCTAAAGATTAGCTCAAAGCCAACTTCGCTAAAAGTCTTTTACTTACGAACCTAAAGAGTGATTTTTAATTGTGTTCTAGATTCCAATCGTCTATAACATGCAGTTTATTTGGTACGTAGATCTTCTAGCGCATCTGATCTTTGATACGCCTTTATATCTAATAGCTTAGTCGCGACCTCTCATAATGCCGCATTTAGACATCGGCGTCGGAGCGTACCGAGCATCGCCCACGCGATTTTTATATAAAGAAAATATTAAGACTTCCCTTAAGCACGATTTTTATTGTATTTTAAAATTTAAGGCTTAAAATACAAAGCTGGAGGATGTCGAACAATTATTAGCTAAACTGAAGATGATGATGATCCCTTGCATTCGCAACAAGCTGAGTATAAGGCTCCTATAGATGGTGCTTAAATATAACCCTTATTTGGCACAGTTATTGAGACTTTTTTAATTCTTTGTTTTATCAGTTCAATTTTTTTATTTATTAATTGTACTACCATATGCCTAAGCACATAATTAGATTAGAATTAAATGGTATTATAATTTAAATCACCGACTAATTTGGCAGTTTACAGCAGAACAACAATTATCACCCAATTCATTCTACAAATAAATTGCAAAGTATCTTAAAGTAATTATTTTTAAGAAGAAACTCCATGCTTACAGTATCCACAAGCCTCGCATGATTGTCAGATCAGCTCTATGATGCCAAATTATATTAATTATATAATTTGGTATCATAGAGTTGGTCTTATCCAAATTACATCGACTTACAAAGTCTTATTTCGATACGACATTATATGACCAGATGTCAGAAATATTATTTTTGTTAGCAAAGGTAGGTTAAAATTGACTTTTACAACTTCATTACAACATATTTAGTTACATATGAAGTTAGCCTCATAATATTCGGACAGATATTGTTGTATTTAAATACTATTGCCTATGCGATGATATAGTCATTATAATTATCAAAGAAATAAAAATTTCTAGATCTGGTCACTACAAAATCTTGTTCAATGTTGATACAGTTACGAGGTTAGTTTTTGCAACCAAGTTCCTTGTCGCGCGTTACAAGCTCTGAGCGGATGGGAGCTAGACCGAACAATGAACAAGATTTTTTCCGACACATTCTGCTTATATCTTTTAAACTAAGCAACGGATTTTAATGAAAGGAAGGTTTATATGTATCATCATCATCATCAACAGCCTTTAATAGTCCACTGCTGGACATAGGCCCCTCGTTAGAAAGGAGGTTTTGGCCAGACATGCATATTATCTCAAGTCCGTCCCTGGTGGCAACGGCCGGCAGGAACGGAGCGGTATAATTGCTAGCGATCCGGGGGGCTTCGCACGGGTGCAATGTACAAATGTGGTGTCAGTGTGTAAAAATTAATTATACTATTATTATGATAGGACTATACCACAGGACATCTTTATATGCAATATTTATAGGCCCGCTCCGATCCTGCTTGCCACCTCCTTATCCTTAGGAGATGGGCATATACCATCGCGGAGTTCTTTAACCGACTTCAAAGAGAAGGAGGCTCTATATCCCACTGTATGTATTTTTTTATGTAATGTTCACCGATTACTCCGTCAATTGTGGACCGATGTCCAAAATTCTTTTATATTAGAAAGAGCATAGTCCTGAGGTAGTCTCATTGTCACGCAGTCAGGATCTGATGAGGAGATCTCAGGGAAATCGAGGGCAATCCTCAAATTTTATAGGCACGTATTATGAGTTTAATATATTTCTAGAGCTTTTCTAGTATTTGCGTCTGGTAGTCAATATCTCGTGTTGATCAGCTGATGATGGAAGGTACAACTCCTAAACGGTTAGGAGTTGGAGGATAGTTCTTTAAATACCATAGGTAAGTTTAAACTTTTAGTTGTATTCTTCAAGTCATTCAGGTGAGCTGATGATGGAAGGTAATGTTGTCGTCTTTCGTAGGTTGCTACATCTCGCGACTTATATGAAATAGGTCAACCTACTAAGTACCTATGATATTATTTACAATAAAAATGGAAAAATATACAATTTAACAAAAAATGCACCGATTTAAAAAAAAACATCAAACGAAAATTCCCTACTTAAAAACACTAAAAAGCGAAAAATAAAATCAATTATTTATATTATTAAAAAATGTGCGACTTTTCTAGCTAACTTAATCAAAAACTTACCTATTCTCAATAAAATTCCCAATGAAAATATGACATAGCATATGACGTGATATAAAATAGGAACTTAAAATTAAAATAATATTTAATTCGTGAATGAGGTACAATTGCTTTGTATGAGCCGGAATAGATGACATTTTGAGGTGCATTCTGATTTAGAGGTTATAAAATGATTAAGATATTTTTTTGGAAATTTAATAAGGATTATGTAAAGCTACTTTTTCGGGCACATGTATCATTACGAGTAAGAAGAATGCTCCTTGCATGCTCCTTCTTCAGGTAGTACACTTAATTACCTAAATCATATACTAATACAATCACAGCTCATAGAGCGAACTACCTTATTTTGTGTGACGTGAACAGGACCGCCGGGTACGGGTGTGCTAAACGTGCACCGTACACGGGGGGGGGGCAAAATATAATCGAAACGAAAACGAATCATTCTCATAATTTGCATGTCTAATTTTCGTGTATTTTATATTATGTCATAATAGTAACGTCTATTGATCGGTGGTAGTTTATGAAAATAAATTCAAACGTTTATAAGCTTCGAATTACTCCATTAAACGAGGTATATATAATTAAAATCAGTCAAGACGCGGACGCGGGATTCCGAAATTTCCAGGTGTCAAAGCGACGAACTCCGATTAAGAGACGGGGAGGGGAAACCACACACAAGGGTGCCATCTGTAAGCCGTAGATAACTCCGGGTTCGTCGGGGAATCAAGGATTTCCTTTCTAGGTTACACCTGGTTCCCCAGCTACTACCCGAGACTTAACTCAAGAGTTTTAAGGCCGGCGCTGACTGACGTCGCGGCAAGGCTCGGCAGGCCAGGGTGTCTTTTGACAGCCCAAAGGATGCTATGGTATAAAGCAGCAAGCCAAAGCATGCTGCGTCACGTCGTGGCAACCCGCAGAAAGCCACGCCACTCAAAAGGGCCCGCGCTTACTGACGTCCCGACACGATGTGCCTTTAATTTTAATAAATCCATAACCGTTTCCGAAGAGCGATTTCCGAGAAAAAAAGCGGCTTCATCGGCATAGCACGAGGGCGCTCAAATAGCCTTTTCTTTTTCCTGTGCGGAAATCCCCTCGGACGTCACCCACATGTGGGGTGATTATGTCGGACTCGAACCGATCAGAAACCACACGCCGTCTTGTTAACCAGTGGCCGGGGAATCATGTGTATCCTAGAAAGGAAATCTCTGGTACCTCGACGTACCTCTTTCCATCCATGGCATGTAAATGACCCCTTCCTTTGTGGGAAAGCCCATGTTCGCGCGCGGGCGGGCGCGCTCCGCAGCGCGTCTCACCGCCAACCCAGCCTACTTCTGCTAGGGAGACAGATGGCCTCACCTGTCACACCCAGGCCTGCGCTTATGGGGGACGCAGGACGTTTGCGGTATATTGCCCATTCCCGGCCCCGGCGGTTGCCCTGGATGTGAAAAAATGTATATATCGTCTTCCATCGACTCATAGAGTGCCATATTCAAGAACTAACTTTATAAGGAGTACAAGAGCACACAATAAACTACATGGTTTAGTGGAAAATTATATTTATATTATATTTATATTTTCATTTTGTAAGAAAATAAGTTGAAAATGTGTACACCGCTTGCAAGTCTATAAACAAGTATACCCTATATACATACAATAATAATCAGAAAGAAATAAGATATTAATAATTTTAGTGTTATTATGAACACAGGTAAAAATTTTTATAACAGTTAACTTTAATTTCGCTGACGATGACGATGACGATGACCGCGGTAACAACTCCGAAAGCGATGCATCGAAATTAAAGTTCTAAACTCAGATTTATTTACCTATTTGGTTCGAAATAATTATCCTCATTTGGATAGCATAGTATTCGAGTAGCTTGTCTATGAAAAAGTATTTCAACTCAACTTCATTAATTTGCGCAAGGCTACTCAAAAAATGCGCAAAAGAATACAATAAATTATTTAAGAGTAATATTTATTTTATAATTAATTTTATTATTCGTTGGACAACGCTATGTAAAAAGGTAGCCTTTGAACACAACCATTCAAGTTATCCTCATTATTTTTTTAAATGTAAACACTTTGGTTCAGGTAGGTTTGCTAAATTTTTTATCAGTTCTGTATATATCTCTATTCCTTTAAGGAATGTTAGTACGTTTTGGTATTCATCTTTGCCATGCAACCTGGGTATCGTCCTCCGCCTGGGTGAGAAGCCAATAGCAGGTATGCCCAGATTACGAACCACCAGCATGTCAGATGTAGCTGGGCAAACAACTGGATTCAACTTTATACCCCTGGAATAATAAATAATATAATGGTAATATATATATTACAGTTCGCCATCTTGAAACAAACTGATTATAGACTGTTCTAGAATATAGGTTCTAGGAACATACATCGTTTTATTGTTAGGAGTTATATATCATACATGAAAGACACCCAAATAAACAAAATTACACTCGTTCATTAACACAAATACGAGTATACATGCAACCGGTCTGAAGTGGCAGTCAAATGTTAGTGTCAAATATAGACATTATATAATACACATGCCAAATAGGTAAAACAGTTACATTAATTAATCTATCAGCTTACGACTCACAAAGATTTCAGTGCTGTCATTATGATCTACGAGTATACCTATCTATAAAAGAAGAAACTGACAGATTGATTCACTGACTGATCAATGAACGCACGTGACGTAGGTGTGCACTAAGAAATAATTTCAAAAAAGTCCACCCCTAAGAGTGAAAAATTGGGATTAAAAATTTATATGAAGCTTCGTTATTTTTGGTTATCGTTATCAAACTTACAGTAAATACTCTTTATTAAAAGTATAAAAAGAGTTATAATGATATTCTCTATCTAAATATAATCTCTAAAAACATAAAAATATAAAAAATAATTACACACTTTTTTACTTTTCAAAACGTAAGTATGTTTATCACTCAATCACCCCAAAACGGATTTCCGGATCTGGACGAGTTTTGGCACATAGATAGATTACTCGTATACTCGTAGTCTAGAATAGGGGTATCGGGGGGTCCGTAGCTGTAGAGGGAAACGGTCTTGACAAGGAGCCGTCCTAAGTCCTTGTCACCTTGAAATTCAGCCGACTTGAATGAGTCTTAACTAGTATGATAATAAAAGGCATAAGGCAAAATTTATTGACAAAATTGACATTTACTTGAGTGAAGCCGTAGGCAAAACCTAGTTACCTAATAATTAAGCTGGACATAGGCCCCTCCCAGTGCACGCCATTTCGATCAATTTTCGGCAATGGGAGAGGCCTATGTCCAGCAGTGGACTAAGTACGATTGGCTGATGGTGATGATAAATTATGCGGGCACTAAAAAATTTAGTTATCTAACCTATAATATCTAACATACTATGTATTGAGCATTCCAGCTAAAATGATTGATCGTATTTAATTTACTGTTTAAATAAACTACGTACTACTAGGTAGACATTTATTGTTTAAAATTAAGCAGGTGCTTAGGTATCAGTGGGTAGGTCCTTCATCTTAGTTTTAATGAAAAGAATGGATTATGGATGAAGGGACAGATTAAGAATATGGAGTGTACCACCCCGAGTCATCCCGTGAGTGTCTACTAAGGGATCAAACTACGCAGGACAAAATCACTGCAAAGAAAAGGAAAATTTGAAAGAACTTACATTCCAGTCAAAGAGTTTCGCATGGAGATCCAGTAGGGGTTTGTGTCGTCAACAGAAGTTATAGCCGACTCGGTTTCTTTACGTAGATATGTAAGATCAATTGTGTTACCGGCCGCTAATATCCAAGAATTCACCTGCGAATTGAAAGATTTAGAGTGTATTTCATTAGATAACGTAATTTCTTAATAGATATTCGTGTAAGATATAGGTAGATACTTATTTCAAAATATCCGCCTGATATATCCATACTTCAACTTCCATAATCATATTATTAATGTGTGTTTGTTTGTTCCGCTTACACACCTGAACAACTAAATCGATTTTTAAAATTCTTTTACCAATGGAAAGTTACATTACCAGAGAGTACCATAGGCTACTTTTAACCGCGAAAACCGACATACACGCGGGCGGAGCCGCGGGCAATAGCTAGTATAATATATATTAGATAAATAAACTACTTACAATAGCTTCCATCTCCGTAACATCAGCGTCCGTAGATAGTCTCATATCAACGTTGAGCATTAGTTTTGTAGGTATAATATTCATGCCTAGTCCACTCTGGAAACAAAACCAATTGAATCCTCTAAGAAACGAATGTTTTTTGTTGTACCCTAAACTTACTGAAAAGTTTTTATTGAAATACTTTTCAATACCTATATATATACTTTTTCATCAAAGTCGATATTAAACAAGCAATACATAAAGTACAGCAATACATATTAAAAAGTCCGTGTGGTGAAAGATTAAGAATACGCATTGTCACCACCCCCAATAGGGAATATGCACGTGACACCAAAATGGACAAAATATTTTTATTTGTAATTTTTATTGCTAAAAAAAGATACCCATACAATTAATTGAATTTTATTATAATTTATTAGTGAAATTTAATCATCAAAAATTGGCTTTTTTAAGATTCCCTCGCAAATTTCTAAAACGCAACGCTATTGGTTGAATAATACGTGACGTCAACCTACACTGTCAAGAGTGTCAACAAGTTGTGTGTATTTGTAATATTTGGTTTCTGGTGATTATTTGTTTCATTTTAAGTTAATAACTAATACTTTTTCAGTGTTAAATTATTAAATTCCCGTGTAGAAAGACTCAACACATTGACTGAATATACTTTGTCAGGTGCAGTTTTGATATGATTTGGGCACAAAGGAACGGCACAATATTTATAATAAGTTTTTATTGGCTTTTCCATGGTAATAAGTTAATTTTTATCACTCACTTTTTTAACTTTCACAAACTTTGTGAATTTCACTCCGTTGTTGACATCGAATTCGTCTGAAAGTGTAATCTGACATCACAAAAAAAGCGCGCCAAAATGGACGTGTTCAAATTGCCCCAAAATGATAGTGATTTTAATATTTTTTTTTTGCTTAACGGTTTATATTTCGGATGTGTTATATTTATTTTTGGTAATGTAATAACTAGTAGAATCGTTTAAAAAATTAAAAAAAATACATGCATATTCCCTATTATCCCGTGGGTGTCGAAAGAGCCGACTAAGGGAGCAGACTACGCAGGACAACAGCACTGCAAAGAAAGAAGAAGGAAAACTGGCCAGCGTGGTATAGTATGCTAAAACCTCCTTTCTAAGGAGAGGCCGATGTCCATCAGTGGACTATTAAAGGCTGTCGATGAATACATATTTAATGATCTTCTATTTCATCCATTTTTAATGCTAAGGAAATTTATCTAAACAAGTAGGTACTTGTTATTTTTGTTTCTAAACTTGTGGGCTTTAACAGTGTTAGAACTATGTACTAACAATGATTGATTTAAGTCACCTTCACTTCACGTACATTATACATACTTATATTCATCTCTTTGTAAGTAGGTAATTATATTGGGAACACTATCAATGCAAAGTCTATATCATTTTCTGGTAAAAGTATAAACAACCTTTAATTTTTACTTGTAAACTTAATTTAATCCTTTGATCCTTTAACTTATTTTCATATCTATTATACCTATACATATAATGGTGTGCACACAACGAACCTTAAAACAGTGTAAAAAACATTTGCTGTCATAAAAATAACTACAATCAATACACACTTTTAATTAATCTTGTCTCCTACACTTATAACATACTTTCTAGCAATGTGGTATTAGTACTAGATATAATGTTAAGTACTATGTAGTTACTTGCCTTATTAACCCTATAACTAAAGAGGGTTTCTTTATCAATACATAGTCTAAGTGACCCCTGATCGATAAATGCAAGAGGCCAGTTGAAATTAATCATGATCGTAATATTCAGATTTCATTTGTGGCAATAAAATGATCGTGAACAAACTACGTCAAATATTATTACTGTGTTTGAATTATTAGTTTATCTGTAACGGCTGATGGTAGCTACTTACTTGTAATACTTTCTCAGTTTGCTCACTGTACCTACCTACATTTAAGTTGTGATTACACTACAATACCTATAACTATATAAATATCAAATGAACAGTCTGACTTACATTTATCATATTTATATTCAAACTGGTATACCCAGCAAAATCGTCCTTACTTTTTGTTTTCATGATCTGCTTTTGCGTGTCTCTGTAGGCTATTACGGCGTTTATGAATTTTTGGGTCTGGAAATATACACAAGTATCTGAAATGTGTTATCATACAACCAACAACGTGTTTGTTAGAAATTTCCAAACATAACCATTAAGTAATAACTATCATTTTATTTTGTTTTTTTTTTTAGTTATTACTCCTTCTGTAGTTTATAATTGTCGTATTGAATCTACAGACGAAGAAGAACTAGAAACAAAAATTCGCTGCGAATATTCTATCTTAAACTTTGGCCCCCGGCTTCGGTCGAGGTAATGTAGGTTTGATATTGTACTTCTTTCTGAAGGCCGATTCTCGGAATAAAAGTTCGGTCTCAATTCAGTACCGATCAACTTTCGATCTCACAGCTGTCATAAAAGGTATTTTCGTAGTAAAATAGTAAAGTATTACTAGTAATACGATATAATCACATTATGGTCAATGTAGTAGTTGTCAATGAGATTTGGCCTTCTGGATGAAAGATACCCCTTTACACATCTCTATCAACAAGCATGCAATTTCATGAGGATCGATTTTGGACTTGATTGTGAAAGACAAACAGATTTTTCCTCGACATGTAATTAATCAATTACTAATACTCGATTCGAGTGATAATAATATGCTCATACCGTAATACTCAAGGTACTGTGATATTCTGGTTAGGCAGCGGACTTTTATGTGATAATTAATTTTAAATGCAGGATTAATCGTTACTCCGTAGTTCGGTGTATATTCGAAGATGGTATTAAAGTGTGAAATAGTGTTAAAATATTTTTTTTGTTTTGTATGGAAGTCGCCCCATCTCGAGAGATTTTAAAACTTGAACAAGCGCATATCGAATGTTTAGTCGATTGTTTGAGATTGAGACCTGTCTATTATCTTTTATACGTAGAAGATAATGCAATAAGGAAGCTAAAAGCTTCTGTAACGTATTAAAGTTAAACAATAGTATTTAAAAAAATATATTACCTTGGACATGGTAGAGTTATCTGGCATTGTGAACCCATGACCACCCTCTCCTTTGATGACGAACTGCATTTCTAAGGTAATAAGAAAGTTACTTACATTTCTGGTTGTTCGTTAATTATTTTTTTTATGTTTTATACCTAACCAGTCTAGGGAATTATTTCATTATTAGGTATATTAAAAAACGATAAACGTCATGATATGATTTTAGTCAAATAAAAGCAAATAGCGTGCCTTTTTCAGGTGTACAATACTGACTTCAGTTTTAAAACAAACACTTCACTTATGATATACCTAATATAACCTCCTTTCGAAGGAGAGGCCGATGTCCAGCACTACCACCAGTGGACTATTAAGGCTACTGATGATGATATTTCAACAAAAGTTTAATAATACATAATAAATAAGCGACTCGGACAACACTACTGTTAAGTAATAAGTATTGAATGTTTAAAAAAAATGTTTATACATGTAGTTTATTCATATTAGTGATGGCAGTTGACTGTTAAATTATTTCAGTTTCTCTTTGTTTTACGCCTAAGTACGTTCTTTGTGTTCAAACTTGTTTAAAGCATACATATTTAAAACAGCTTGTGACGTCATACTTTGTTATTATCATTATATTTATTTTTAATTGTGTGGAATCTTTTTCTAGGTTATAGGTATGTGTCATAATGTTTTATTATAAGTATGTATCATATTTAAATTTTAGGCAGACAGCGTAAAATTTATTTCGTTCGTAATTACGTAGAAATAATAGTCATCCGTATTCCATTCGTATCTCAATTATTTGGAGTCCGCATAATAGGTAACATTATTGTCTAAAGGTAGAGTAAATAGGCGAAAAGGGGAGTGCCTGACTCCCTTAAAGAGTTTCTGGCACCATCAAAGAGAAGTATCACAAAATGATAGAAATTAAAAAATTATAAAAATCAAGATTTTTTAAGTCTAAATGCTGTAAAAAGTACCCACGCCAAGGTCTCCTATCCACAAAAGTCGCATAAAGAAAGTCTTCTGTGCTGGTTAATCCCTCATCAAGAGCAAAGCCAATATTGAACGATTTAAAAGCTTGGGTCTTTACAAAAGCCTTCATTCCGCATGTTCCTCCTGATTCTTCATCTGTAAAAGTAGGTATAAAATGTTATTAGTATAAATATTATATACGTATGAACAAACTTAATTTAAGTTTATATTTATTATTTTTGTTTGCCCCTTCTCATAAGACTCAACCCTTGGAAACAGACAGTTGTAGATCGACACAGGCATATAATAAAATTATATATTTTGCTAAATTATTGACTACATAGAAATTGTGTGTATTTATCTGTAATACTATGCCTCTATGATTTAGAGTCTACATAAGAGACGATTTCACACATTTTTTTTATGAAATCAAGATATTTTACGTCTGAGTTAACTGTCATTAAATTGTATCATGCCATTTCTGGATTAACATGCCCAAAATTTATGAGGTAGAAATCGCCAAAAATAAACATTCAAACGTTTTTTAAAATTTTATAATGAACTAGCTGACCCGCGCAACTTCGTCTGCGTCTCTCAATAGTATTAAATTTTCTCCGTTTTTGAAACATTCTTCATTGGTGCTCCGCTCCTATTGGGCTTAGCGTGATGATATATAGCCTATAGCCTTCCTCGATAAATGGGCTAACTAACACTGAAAGAATTTTTCAAATCGGACCTGTAGTTCCTGAGATTAGCGCGTTCAAAAAAACAAACAAACAAACAAACAAACAAACTCTTCAGCTTTATAATATTAGTATAGATACCTGGCATCAACGTGAAGTATATAGTCCTTGCCAAAGTGATATTATCTTTTCTTAGATTTCTAATTGCTTCCAGGTATTGAATAGCAACGTCTTTGGTGTCCTGTGTGCCACGGCCATAAATGTCACCGTTTTCGTCCATGTGTGCATCAAATGGCGGATATTTCCATTCTGTCTAAAATTTAAATTTAATTATTACCTTCTTGCACAAAACAAAAATGCTAAGTTATAGTTTGATGTATCAATCTGTATGCCTTTGTTGTCTAAGTAAACAAAGCTTTATTAGTCATCGTTTTATCAGGCAGAGAATGACATCAAGAATATGTTATTATACACGTCAGAACATACAGTCTCAAGTTATAAATAGCATCTCAAGCTTTGATTATTCACATGTCTAAATAGAGTTATTAACATGTAAGTAGTCTAGCATTAAACATTGAAGGTTAAACATTTAGTATAAAATCTGTAATAAAATAGTCAATTTGACACAAACTTAGTGGTACAATTAAATATTTTAACTGGTCACTTTACATCTACATCCTGACCAACTTCTTTTAGACACATTTAGCATGTATTGTTTCATAAAATAGGCAATATGAAATTTACTGAGCACTTTTTTACACTGTATCGAGTAAACACTTATATTGTTTGGTACAGATTCGTTATTAAGCTTCAGTAATCGCTTCAGTAATAATAAGGCGTAAATCCGGCCGCATATGGAATATTGTTCTCATATCTATGCAGTGGCACCCGACTACCAGCTTCTCCCTCTGGACTGGATTCAACGGAAAGCGACTCGAATTTCTATCGTCTGTATCACAAAGAGTGCTCCGAGGAATTGTTCGTACTAATAACGGCCGCATCTTTCCGCCATCGTTTAACGTGACGAAACTTTCTTCCTTAAAGGCCGGTAGCGCGCTTATGACTCCTGACTTGTAGGCATTCATTGGCGCGATTGTCACTTTCTAACAGGTGACCACCCGTCTGCTGGTTTGCCCCTTTGCAAAAGATGTTCCTCACTCTTTTTTCATGTCTTGTCTACTGTATAGGCTATTTACATCAAATTGCCAATATGGAATCCGTAGGATATCGGGTCTTAGCATCGTTTGGATTAGCCAAACGATGCTAAGACCCGAACGTCTGACATTTGGGTATCATTATTATCTTTAGTGATTAACATTTTTTATAATATTAAACAAGCGCAGCATCACAGATTCCCCATAGTTTTTGTCATTATTATGTATTTATTACGTTAGGTAAAGTTACTACACCAGCTAAAGAATCGTATTTTCTCAAACATAACAATATAATTTATTTCAGAAAACTTGTTCCATATACAATAACAATAATTCATTACATCATATCATAAATTACAGTTTACTTGTCACTACAATAACTTATATTTTTTGCGTTTGCCCAATACTTGAACACTTTCTTCAGTAAGTACCAATAACTCCATCATCATCATATGCGGTAGGCATATAATGATGATGGAGCGGCTCTTCCCAAAGGTATTTAGGGTCGCTGCAATGAGTTTTCTCCTTTTATTCTCCCTGATCAATCGAAATCCTAATATATTTTACGAATTCTGTAAATGTATGTATGAATTTATATTGTATGTATGTTGTACGAATGTATATATGTGTAGGTATATGTATGTTTGTAAGACAGTTTTAATGATATTCATCACTTTTTCTATCCGAAATAGTTTTGGCTTTTTCTTTTATAGTCGGCCGCCTGCCCAACGCCAACCCTCCGTAAGAACTTCGTACATACATAGTATGAAGCGAAAGATTCACACCCGTAATTCTACAGAGCTATCATTATCACACTAATATTGCTTTTTCCTAAAGTACAACACGTTAGTAAAAAGCAATATTAATGTTAATAATTTATATTAATTAAACCAGACATTTGAAAAATTCAACATTCTTCCCATTATCAAAACCACGTTTTATTCTTGTTGCATTTGTTTTTAAGCTATTGCATAGCTTCTATCGAGGGCCTTGAGCGCGGGGACCGAATCCAGAAATTCCGTAACGAAAAAAAACCTCACGCTAAAAACAAAACAAAAAACAGTACCAAAATCAAATGCTGAACGTCAAAGGAAATTTCGTCAACATAATGCAGAAAAATCTTACATGGATATGTAATTTGATTTAATAATAATATTTTTTATTTATTTATTTAAAAACAAATTGTAATATATGCTTCAATATTTTTATTTAATAAAAGAAAAAAAATTGTTTTCTTATCGGTCACCACGCTCAAAAAGTGTAACTTGAATTAATATCAAAGAAAAAGAAATACTGCATAAATAAAATAAATAAATAAATATAATTGCATAAGTTGATACAAAATGCTATGCAATAGCTTTACCGCGGCAGTCCCCGAGTGCCACACGTCTTTTTTTTTTTAAGTAAGTATGTATTGAATGAAATACTTTTAAAACAGAGAAGCTTTACAAAAGCGTAGTAAAAAGTACCATCATTCGGACAATCGAGCACTCAAAACAGGCAGTTCTCAAGTTCTTAACCTCAAGATTGCTCTTAATATTTGTTTATTCATTAACACTGTCTTGAGAATAACACTATCTATAAAACGGTGGACTACTAACGATATAATATCTAAACTCGTATCAATCGATGTTTCTTCATGCTCATATGAGTTTCACCGGTACGATTCCGAACATGTATCATGTTTAAGATATTTTTATAGAAGTAGTAATAATAATATTCTACCACATTCACACAACGCCGTATACTCTCAAACTAAGCAGAGCTTGTACTATGGTTACTAGACAACTGATATAAGTACATATATACTTATTTTTGTAAATACATACATATTATACATAGAAACACCCAGACCAAATCAAATGTTCAATCTTCATGCACACAAATGTTTGACTTGAGCGGGGATCGTACCCGCGACCTTTGGAATAGTCACTTGATGATCTATAATTCTCCTTTTCAGTTTATTTAGTCATTTGAGAACTCAAGCATTAGTATTAATTATAAAATACAATGAACGTAATTTGTAATGCACATATCATCAACATATTTTGTTCTCACATTCTCAGTTCTCAAGAGGGGAGATCGGTTTCGTTCAATGAGTCTCAGTCTGTTTTATCATTATATATCTAAGTACTTTATAGAGTCTTCGACAATATAGCTAGTTTTAAGATAAAGATAATGTAATAAAATAGGTGAAAATCTTACCGGGTCAACCTTAACAACGTCCATATGCGAGTTAAGCATAATACTAGGCAGAGAAGGATCGGAGCCTTCTACCGTGGCGACGAAAATAGGCTTGCCAGCTGGTTCATAGACCGTGTACGGTATGCCCAAATCTGACATTTGACGAATCCAAAAAAGAATTGCATATTCTGTAAACATTTGCCATCATTATAACCACCACATGGTTAAGAGTTTTAAAATGTAAACATTTTTGTTTTGTTTTCAAGTCTGTTTTTTTTTTCAATAATAATCTAATAATAATATTTTCTACCATATTCACACTATGCCATCTAGTCCCAGTCTAGACAGAACGTGTACTATGGGTACTAGACAATTGATATAAATACATTTACACTTTTTTGTAAATACATAAGCACATCAAGAAGAATCTAGTATAACTGTATAAGTTTGATAAAAAATAGAGTTGTTTATTAAAATAATTTTGAGAAGTATGTATACAAACTTAAATTTCCTTCTTGACTCGTATCAATCTTTATGTACTCTCGAAAAATGTCAACTGAATGTAGTGCCGAGTAACAATGGTACTTGTTTCGCAATGGTCCGGCAATATTGTTATGTAGTTGTAATACAATAAATATGAATATTAATGACTTCAACATTTTAAGCTGCAAAAGAATAAATACAATAAAAACTACATATTTATGAAGAAGGTAAGAGAAGATTATTCACTAAAGTTATCTTCTAAAAAGCTAGTTAATACACAAATTGAATAAAAAAATTGAAACAGTTTTTAACCGACTTCAGCAAAAGTGGAAGGTTCTCAATACAGTTTTATTTGTTTTCTGTTTGTTACTATAAACCTCCGACATGTATGAACTAATTTGGAATATCCTTTTTTGGAATGATACCTTATACTTCCCACTTGGTCTCATTTAAATTTGAAGAAAACTTCTACCTCCAACTGCCCTAAAGGTAGTTAACAAGAATCTTGAGGAATGAAGAATACAGGTTTTTACAATTAAAATAATATTATCAGCGTAATATAAATCAATGTTTATTAAAGTTCATCAAAATGTAGGCGCATGGAAGTCGGTAAAAAATATTTTAATTATTATTTAAAACAATATTATATGAAGTGGAATTATATAAGAGCCTTGCTGATAGAACAGAAATCATCAACAACAAATTGTTTTGTTTTCTACTTTGTAACACAAATATGACTATCCTGACCTACATTAATGTACTTTAGTTTTATCCGATTTTAGCTGTCTTTGTAATGATATCTACTAAATACTTAATACCTGTACTTAATACTGAACCAGTATCTAGTAGGTACCATAGTATTTAAAATAATAAATAAACCTATATTAAGTTGGAAAAAATATAGCTTACTCACCCGTCAATTATATTCCTACACTATCTATGCAAATTTGGTAAAGGTAACTGTACAAACAATAAATATTACGAGTTCATTCTTAATAAATTATTGTAAGATTTAAATAACTCTTGCACTTCTTCAAAATATTTCTGTCAAAAATTATAATTGTAATATATATTTTAAATCATATTTTAGTTTTAAAACAACAAAAGACTCTGAACAAACTTAAGACTGTTCAAAATGATACATGTTTTAAACAAAATACTAAGTGACGCGTCCGTCTGAGACAAAAGACTTTATCAGTAACCATTAAATACAGAGCAAGCCTTGCAAAATAATTAAATATAGTACTTATCTAGTCTATTTACTGAGTTATATATATATATATACATATTCGAGTTCTTTCGCTTTGAACGGATGTACCTATAGACACACGTCGTACATATGTATGTAACTGAATCCGATTTGAATAATTCTTCCTTTTTTGTGAGGATTTCATAAAGGATTAGGAAAATATGAACTATAACTTTTTTAAATTCATGTAAAATACAAAATAATACATAGTACTTATATCTAATGTTATCTTTTATTTAAAAGTCAAATTTCATAAACTAGGTATGTCAAATTTATTGTTTTATTTCTACATCACCTGAAGGTTGAGCAGCCGAGAATATAGTAGCCCTATGGCATTTAGTTAGCATTTGTACAACATGTGCATAAGTTTTAAACAAATAAATAAAAATAAATAATAATAATATGTAGGTATGTCACGGAACGCGAAAGAAAACTTTTAAAAAGTTTTGAAGCATCTCTTTTTTATATTACTGCTTAAATTACACACTTATTTATCTTATTTTTATTATTTGTCTTTATTTAAGTTTTAATTGAAAACCGCAATCAGGCCACACACTAATAGGTGTACCTTAAACTGCCTTAAAAAAGGGAGTTTTTTTTTAATTGGTTATATTTGTTTTTAATAGGTACTTACGTATAAAATTGGAGATATTTAAAACCGGCATTTTAATTTTTAATTTTTTAGTTATTTGTTTTAGATAGTGTTTTGTTTTTGGGATATTGTGGTAGTTTTTAGCGCCTTGGATATACTGAAAATTCGTACACTTTTCGAATATAAGTTGCTACATGGCAATGCCGCTGCGCAAACAACACGACAAACACTGACAAACGACATTAACGATGTGTACAGGCCTAACACCGCTTGCATAAACACAGTCCATTGTTGGTTCAATGGTTTTAGATCTGGCAATTTGAAAAATAAATATTTGAAGTACGAGCCTCGCGGTAAATTCATCAACAACGAAATGAAGGCGACAGTGGCAGCGGATCCAATTCTATCTACGGATGCGCTTGCCGCGGTCTTTGGAGTTAGTGTCAAAACAACATAGAAGAACTTGTGTCAAATTGGGAAGATAAAAAAGCTAGATAAGTGGGTGCCACATGACCTAAGCGACCATCAGCGAGACTTACGCGTCGAAGCATGCATAGCAATACTGATTTGGCATAGAAACGAGGGAATTCTGAATCGAATTAGCTGTTTTGAAAAGTGGATCCCTATACGACACCCGTAAACATTCTTCTCAGTGGGTAAACCCGGGTACAGCACCCAGTCAGTGCGCTAAAAAAAGATTACCAATAGGAAGATGATGGTGACTGTCTGATGGAAGTGCCGGACTTGTACATCACAGCTTCATATCGAATGACACAACAGTGGCGGCAGATGTCTATTGCCAAGAAGTGCAAACAATGATGGAGAAGCTCGCATTTCAATAACCACGACTGGTCGATCGCTCTTCCCCATTATGTCTCTACGACAACACTTCACGACAGAACATCTCAAAGCTACAAGAGTTACAGCTGATAGCTTCCAGCTGTAACTCTTGTAGCTTTGCGATGTAAGATCCGGTGAGTTCGGTGAGTTACGGAGAGCTCTTTGCAACTCACCGAACTCACCGAACCTTACCCTTACAGAACTCGTTGTCAAGGCTGTGAAATGAGGGTTCCCTCGATTTCTCTGGAATTCCATCCCTGGACCCTTTTGATTACAAAAATAATTTTTGAATTGAATTGAAAATCGATCCACAATCGACGAAGAAATAGAGTTACAAATACACAAAAAAAAATACAGTCGAATCAAAATCTCCTATTTCGTGTTTTTGAAGTGGGTCCAAAAGATAGTACCTATGACTAAAGAATAAATATTTATGTCCAGTCCCATGGTCAACATCTTGCTCCTGGATTTTCCCATCATGACTTGATCTTTCTCTCCTATATCCTAAAACCCCCTAAATCCTGTCCAAAAATTTTGCGTATGCGTAGTTTTAAGCGAAAGTTTGTCGAAAAACTGTGTTCAGATGCTTCCAAATTAGACTAGACGAACTTGGCGGCGGCCACCGACATAGACGACAAGGTCAGGATATTCAACGACGCAGATCAGAACTTGTACGTTCACGCACCTGTTAGGCAAGTTAAATTAAAGCGCCCCTAAGCACCATGGATGACGGAGGAAGTACGAATGGCCATGAGACGGAGAGACCATTGTTTCAAAAAATACAGGAGAGACCGCTGTGAAGAGAAATGGTGCCTCTTTAAGACTGCGAGGACTTGGTGCAACCAGGTGATACGTAACGCAAAACGACGTCATAGCCTTCAAAATATAGAAACCTCTTCGTCTTCCAATATGTAGAAGTTTCTTGGTACATTGGGCATTGGCAAACAACAGCGCCCTGAGGTGAGGAAGACAATTGGTCTAAATGATATCAATCGTCACTTCTCCTCCGCACCTCAGCTGGATCATCAAACCAAGAGTCAAACCTTGAACTATATTGCTGGTCTTGCCCGACCCAATATTGAATCCTTTAACTTTTCTCCGGCATCTTCTGAGGACATCAAAAATATCACCCTGCCTATCCATTCCAATCCTATGGGTTGTGACTGCATCAGCCGTCGTATGATTGTCACTATCCTGGATCAAATTTTTCCTGCAATAGCCCATATCATTAACTTCCCTCGACTCCGGCAATTTTCCCTCAATCTGGCGTAAGGCTTTCATAATCCCTTTGCCCAAAAAAGATAACCCCTCTCTCCCTGAACACTATCGACCTATTTCCGTACTCCCCTTTCTCTCAAAAGTGCTTGAGGCTTGTGTACATAAGCAACTATCGCAGTTTGTGGTACACAATATGGCGATATTAGGGAGGGTATGGAGGACACCAAAGTCACAGTGCTGGCTTTGATTGATTACTCGAATGCTTTTAATACCGTCAGTAACGATGTTCTGCTATCCATCCATTCCTATCTTATGATCTCCTCGGAAGCCCTGGAATGGTTTTCCTCCTACCTTCAGGGACGACAACAGTGTGTTTGTATTGACGGTTTGTCATCGAGTTGGTGCGATCTTCTCTCTGGCGTCCCTCAAGGCGGTATATTATCTCTGTAATTATTTTCAATATTGATTCATCTCGTAACCCAACACCTTCAATGTGCGTATCACATGTATGCAGATGACTTGCAAATTTACGCCCAATCTAGAGTTGAAGACATATCACACGCCACTGATAAAGTTAACAAAGATTTGGAGTTCATAAGGAGCTGGTCCATGAGGTTTGGTTTGTCGTTTAACCCAACCAAATGTCAAGTGATCGTCATAGGTAGCAAACAGATATTAAGTAGGTTGGACATGACGGCCATCCCACAAGTTGTTTTTAACGACATAATCATACCTCTATGGTGTGTTATCTTGACCTGAATGCAGACCTACTCAATAAACTAGACTGACTTCTCAATAACTGCATTCGATTTGTTTTTAATCTTCGCAAGTATGACCATGTGTCTGCTTTAAGTTCCCATCTGAAATGGCTTCCGATTCGTCAACGCCGCAGTCTGCGCGCACTAACATATCTTTTTTCATTTCTTAATTCACCATCGGTACCTGAGTTCCTGGTTCCCCATCTCCGCCTCCTTTGCTCCAATCACGATCGAAATCTTCGGTCAACAAATAATATGCTTCTTCTTTGCCCTCCTCACACTTCCAATTTCATCAATTCCTTCTTCTATGTGCAGTCAGTTCTTCTCTTGAATGCGCTCCCAGTCGAAATCAGGATGTCCACAAACCGGTTTACGTTCAAGAAGAAAGTACAAGATCTTCTTCAAAATAAGTTGGCAGAAAGGTCACAGCGCTAGTACCCGACTATGTATTGTGATATTTATGTATTTATAAATGTGTATTTTCATGTATTGTATGTGTATACTTGAGACCTCTTTGTATATATGTAGTAATGAATATAGTATTTTATTTATAGTATATAGTGTATATATGTAAGTTAGATTTATCGTAAATTAATAATTTTAAAGTCAAATTCTATGTTTTCTCTTGCACCTACAGCATCATTTTTCTACATCACCCGAAAGTCGACTGGCAGAGAATGACGTGGGCATTAAGTCCGCCTATGCGCCTATAACTTGTGCATTAAGTTAAATAAATAAATAAAAGGTAAATAAATGTTCACCGGGTCATCTAGTAAATAATTATTCTCTTATAAATTCTCTAATAGATCTGAATAACAAAATAGCCTACAGTTGTATATTAACAGAATGGAAATGGATCTCACTCTTCTAAAAAGACTAACTTCGAATCTTAAAAGTCTCTTTAAATATGTTTTTGTAAAAAGATCGAATTCTCAAAATTTATTTTGAGGACTTGTGCGTCTTATCACTGACAAGAGGCTTGAGCTCTCATTAACGAGTCCAGTCTTCAAAAATCGAGTCCAGTCCCTAAATTAGGACTTATAGAACTCGAGGCCTGTCTTTCACTACTATCATCTGTAGGTAGGTATATCTGATATCATCTGTATCACAACATTTTGCAATGCAAAAAAAATTGTTGACGGAGCCGTGATCACAGCGATACTGTGGATTTCACGACACTATAAATGTATTCATCTTACCTTCTGTCTTAAATCCACAACAAAAAACTCTATCCGATATTCTTAGTTTTCCCAAAGATAAAAAAATAAACACACTTCACCTTATAACAAAACTTTTTTTAATGTTTGTTCACATTCAATATTAATTATTTTATAAGCGAGTATACAACACTAAAAGGTAGGTATTTTATTATTTTTCATTAAATATTTTAATAACTTAAGCCTTACAAAGTCCTCATTATATGCAAGTGGATATTAGAAATAACTTAAATGATAAAAAGAATTCGGATTTTAAGCGGACAGCCCAAAACCAAGAAACACTACAATCTCGTTGGCTGTTTTATATCTATATAACTAACAATTTAGTATGCTTCAAAAACACATATTTTAACATACCTACCTAATTATGCGCTACGTAAGTAATGAATATGTTAATTGCCAGATAGGTGAGTACCTATATCTACAATTAGACACATTCCGCTCTTAAAGTTTTTATGCCTTTTAACGTCTAATGGTAGATATTTGAATGTGCTTCGACCTCCTGATACTCCACGTGTCAAACATCCGTAGCAAATACTTTTACCACTACTAATACTTAATAGACTACCTGTCTACAACGTAGTCATCTGGAAAATTCAAAGCAAAAGATTATTTTACAATTTAGGCGACTGGCATACCACCACCACAACCACTACCACCACGGCCAATAACAGACATAGGTCTCCCCTTAGAAAGGAGGTTTTGGCCTACTATACCATGCTGGCCAAACGGGTTGGTATAGGGTTTGTTTCAAGTTTTCCTTCTCTTAGCAGTGCTGTCGTCCTGCGAAGTTTGCTCCCTTACTCGGCTCTTACGACACCCACGGGATGAATACTTAGGGGTGGTGACATTCCGTATTCTTAATCCGTCTCCACACGGACAGAATGGCATAGATACAAACAGTATGGCATAGACAGAATGGCATAGATACAAACCAAATAGTATGATAGTACGCAATATTTGTTGTTTAAAATCGAACGGTAAATCCGTTTCTGTTGAGGGATTATTTTACGGAATACACACCACCAGGCGATTACACAGGCATACGAAATCTTCCTTAAAATCAATTTCTCTTACGGATTGGGATCACCAACAATCCTCAAGGTTCGCTTCCGCATCTAGGCAAAATGCATATAAAAAAGCAATACGCTACATAATGCCAAAGTTTTATACCACCACGACCTATAGCTTTACTTTTGCACATATGAAACCATAATACTAAACGACCCTTTATATGTATATGGAAAAGATGGGTCTTGGAGTTGTAAAGCTACAGTAAATGATATTAGTACCGAACACGAACATATATACTTACTTATCTTACCAACTATTAATATGTAACTATTCGGCTAAAATATTATTATTCTCACTAAGATATTTTTATTTACATTACAGTATACATTGCATATGACCTATATTAATGAAGATTAATAGCGAGATAAGAGATGAAATTAAGTAAAGGTAGTATACACGATATAACTAATGAACTAATTAGCTCAACCATTGGCGTAAGCGAATCCTAAAATTTTAGTTCTCATGTGCATTAATAGCAAGCTTATACGAGTATGTGATATCCAGGAACACAAATATGATAAAATGTTGCTTATATAAAAAAATCTATGAAATAATTATTTAATAATACTTAATAAATATGGCATTATGAACGTAATGATTATTGAATGTCAAAAAGAAGAATTACTTAGAGGACTTGAAACTAAACGCATTGTCAATGATATTTTGCCGATTCTCGTCCTTAATATTTCAAGATAGAATACTGCTCCATTATTTTTTTACACTGTCCATTTTTTTTTGTGTAGATACCGCAATCGAATAGGCAAAGTGCGGCAACGCCCTTATTTCTCTTGTAGGTAGTCACTTACCATCATGTCTGCTCGTTTGCCCAAAAAAAGTGTTGGTGCTGTTCATGCATGCAATGGGTATACCAGAGGGCCTAGTGTAGGCCCTCTGTGCCTTTGAACAGTGTGACAGTTCTTATTTTCACATGACAAGTGGAAGACCACTGCATTCTTTTCAAACATTGGAAAAGCATTCTGTCGATATTGAATATTCCTATTATCATTTCTGTGTTAAAGCTGAAAACCCAAAAGAAAATTATGAAATAACAAAATAGAACCATAACTTTGTCGTCGTGATAACTTTCTTAAGCACATCTTGATTACTTTTTAGTTGTTCCTTATGGCGTTTAAAATTTCCAGTACTTTTTTGGAATATAACTCCACTGTTCTATAGAGGACGCAAAGAAGGTAGGTACCCAAAAAATAATATCTAAGTACAGCACTGAGAGCCACATTTAGCGCCTGTCTGAAACTAGTTGAACATCCCTGAATTAAACACGTGTTTTATATCAATAACATATACGGATAATATATTGATGAGCATAATAGGTAGGTATGGTTTTTTTGTAGCAAGCATTTACCACTGACTCAAAAAAAACCCTTCTACCTTTAAAAAAGAACCTCTAATCTTCAAAGAACAAAAAAAACTGGATAAGAAAGCTATCAACCACCTTTCAATAAAAAAAAAAACTATATTAAAATAGTCTATCCATTCAGGAGCAGAAGTGATAATGTTTAAGACAGACCTTAAACTTATAACATCCCTCCTTTTTGGGGGTCAGGGGGTTAAAATTAGTAATAATCGAACGCCAGAAGGTATTTTTATAATATTGATTTATTGTCATTAAACCTAGACATACATAAACGTAGTATCTACTTTTAACAATTTTAAAACAATTTCATTCGCGGTCACAACGTTTCTTAACGTATCAATAATTTATTGATACGTTAGTAAATAAACACTGTGACTTAGTAGGAGTCTATTGATTTTGCGGTGCACTTTAATTGTAAGCTATGTGTAAGCTACATCTATGTGTAATTTGTAACGATAGCATCTTGTAGGAAAGAATTCACAATGTGCCACGACTACTTTTGCAAATTAGCAGTGTACGGTCGCAGTCATAAGTCTAGTTCCATTGTTACAAAGATATATCATGTTCAATGTTCAAATTCGATGAACAAATCGATCGACAAATGTTCAATCTATCTCGTAAGGTTTAGCCAGCGTTTGCAATGTAAGCGCACAAAAACATGTTTTTTACGACTTCACATTACAAATTTATGAAATTCTCGGATTTCCTCTACTATTATATGCCTGTATCATAAATTTAAGCCCGCCTCTTGTATGACTCTCTCTGTTGGTGAAAACTGCATTAAAACCCGTTGCATAGTTTGAATGATCTAAAGGTACAAGAAAAAAAAGCGATTTCATTTTATTCTTTGTAAAGATTTTAGAATAGCTTTCAAATTCCTACTACCGAAAGATAAATATGAAGAAAGGTAAAAGTAGGTATATTAAATGTTATCTAGTGTTGTGCACACAAACATGTGACCAACCAACATCATACTGTAGTATAAGTCTGCATTATCTGGTTATAATTTGTGTATGAATTGAAACGCCGCACACACAAAGATAGGCACAGAACAGGTATACGAATATGAACATTAAGGTGGAACTGCACTTATGACCTTTGACTTTACATAGATACAGGCAAATAAAATTCCCTTCCTACACTAGTGCGATATTTATCAGCATGTATTTTGACAGCCTAACCTAGCCTAATTTTCGTACAATATTATTTGGTTTAATAGACACTTACTTAATAATATTGTAGGAAAATTAAAATGGAGATATGCATTTAACTCTGTAGAATAGATTGCATTTTATTTCATCCTTTAATTCTGAGCACTAAACATATCTTAGCAAGATCCAGGTGAGAATGTCCTCCGCGAGGCTTACATCACTTACTAGTAACATTCTACATGATAGCTATTGTACAAAAAGGTGTATCTATTTACAGCAACACTTTCGTCTATTCATATTTTCCTAATTTTTCAAGAAAAATATTGAAATCCCTAATTATATGATGTGTCTATTCCCAATCACGGCTTGGCTTTTTATTAAATAGCATAACGCTTACAATAAATTTTTGAACATATATATATATATATATATATATATATTAGTTAAAAACAAATAGAACAGTTGAATAAAATTTCAACAGAACAATTACTAATTTTCACCGCCAGATCTTAACTAGGATTTGACGTCTGTTTACTAAACATTAATGAATAGTTTTGAAGCAGAATGCATTAGCCATAAACATTTATTCATGTACACGAATATCTGCAATATTTAATTCAACATAAAACTATTGAAAATATCAGAGATAGCGTCCAACAAAACCGCACCCACTATTTGTAACCGCCAGTAACTTAATCGTAACAAATTTACTTATGACTTCCTAGCTCTAACATCTGTACCACTTTTGGGATCATGTTCACCAAGTTCTTCAAGCGATATGAACCCTTCAGTTTCCACTGCCATCTCGACATCTTCATTAGACCTGTTCTCGTTCGCTTCACTGTTCTCTTTCTCTTTATAACATTCAACCTCTTCTATTGCGGAGTATATAGCTTTCTTTTCTATCTTGGACAATATCTTTTTATCATGGAAAGAGTGATTGTGGAGGTTTGCCCTGTAGAGAGAACAAAAAATATTTCTAGTTTTATTTTTAGAGTAAGCTTATATCTCTATATAAGCGTATTAATTATATCCGTGTAGTGACGGATTAAGAATACGGAATGTCACTACCCCAATTCATCCCGTGGGTGTCGTAAGAGTCGACTAAGGGCGCAAAACAACGCAGGACACCAGCTCTGCAAAAAGAAGGAAAACTTGTCACAAACCCTATACCAACCCGTCTGGCCAGCGTGGTATAGTAGGCCAAAACCTCCTTTCTAAGGAGAGGCCTATGTTCAGCAGTGGACTATTACAGGCTGATGATGATATTGTATATCTACTATATACTTATAAATAAATATCTCATTGTAGCGGATACCCTCTGACTGAACACTTGGGCTGCATGTATTAATATTATAAGTATTATATATCAACCAAAATTGTTTGAAATCCGGACTAAGTGCTGTAGGATAATAATGATGACATTTATTGATTTGTAACATTTCTTCTTGCTTCCACATAATCTGTGAGAATTATTTCGAGAAAGGGACGGAATTCTTTAACAACAAGCCGGGGGAGCCTATCTTCATCATATTTGATTTGCCTAAGGAGCGCGGGAGAAGCACGCGCGGATCTTGGTGTCAGATGTTACAAACCATATGCGAGTTCGCTCGCGTTTTTGTTTATAAAGGTTATTTTGCTTATAAATGTTATAATGATAACAACATTTAATAACGTAAATATGTCTGCTTCTAATTTTCGTCGTTTTTGTAGAGTAAGTGATAAAAGAGTCTGCCTAAATTACGACCACAATTTGTCAATAGCCTGTGATGAAATATATCTACAAGTTGCAACAATTAATACACGGCATAACTCGGTATTAAGTTAATTGAACAAATATGTTACTTTCCACTATTATGTTTTTAGAAGTGCATCCACACACATCACTGATAAGAGGGTGAAGGGCCAATGATCGGAATGTAGTAGAACAAATAAATATTCGATGACTAAGTATACGTAACAGATTATATAAAATTTCTTCCTTATCAAGTACATTACAATATTAACTTTAAGAGTATTGTTAATGACTCAAGGAAGTCAGTTGTCATATTCTACATAAATCTACAACTGTATCTTTTGCTGTGAACAATTATTTGCATCAGTTTATTCATGTTATAACCATTACCTACTTTCTTCTTCTATACTTTAACCTAGTCGGGGATTTAAATTTGTATTGGTCATGTAAACTTTGCTCTTTAAAACGAACTTTTATAGTTTTGCTTAAAGGCTATATAAATAAGTATTTCATAACTAGCTGTAATCCGCGGTTATATCTACATGTGATTTAAAAACTCACTGATCGCTGATTACTTCATTAAAATATATACCTCCCTTAATACTCTCCTACCTGATGAACCAGACTATCTTATAAATAGAAAAATAGATTTTCAAATCTGTCTTGTAGTCCCAGAAATTAGCGCAAATTACTATCAGTGCCATAAAAAACTATTTACCTTTATAATATCAGTAGTTATATAGATAAATAACACATCACGTTAAAAGAGCTATAACTTGTCATGTACAAACCTATTGAGAACAACATTGCCTTTAGTTGTGACATAAGCTGAACATTTATTATTTCTATAATCCACACACCGCCAGCGTCGAAGACCAGACTGCGTTGTCGAATGAAGGTTATAAATGTATCTGTTTAAAATTACTTGTAACGAGCCTCGGATTGAAACAGTGAATTGCAGTTTGGTGGATGCTGTAAATAAACACATTTTATTATAATATTAAGACAATTAAGACCAGCACAGCTAGAACGAACTTAAAACATTATGTTTAATAAAGCTAAATAAATACTAATTATTGACAAAACTATTTACTTTTTATCCGTTGCAAATTCAAACATTACAAAATAGTTTTTAAAGATAAAAATGCCTAAAAAACTTTTTCACTTTAAAAAAAGCATTTTGTTCTATTTCCTACCTACACGAACCTCGAGCTAGATATTATAAAAAAAAAAACAAAACAAGAGAAGTCGTCCTTTCCGTGTCCTTCAGAATAAAAAAATATTTACGTTTATCTTGACTACGCGTGTCTTTATTATCTTCCATTTTAAATCCATCGTCAGAATCCTGTATGGCATAATCGTCTATTAAATCCGGGTAGTCATGCATATTGTCTTTTGGTGTTGATGTCTTTGATGATGGTTCATTTTTTGTCCTAAAAACATAAGAAATCAATCAAAACGAAATCAAAATAGTGTAATAGCTAGTGTGCGTTACCCCAGCAAAATAATGTCGAAAATGGTCATTTAAACGTTACAGATAATTAGTTGCTCCCCTTCTGTAATTGTTAGGCACATTTTTAAATTTGTTTCTCTTAAACTTTTTTAGTTATTTCAAAAAAACATTTCCTGCTGGGGTAACGTTTGAAACGTTACCGCAGCCAGACATTTTCTTTTTTAATTGTAATATTGAAATAAATTTTAGCTAAATAATTAGTTATCTGGACTAGGTAAATGTTATAACTTATTTAGTATTTGTATTTTCTTCGGCTGCGAAGTTATTCGAGATCCTGCTGGAGTAACGTTTGTGGGTTTGCTGGATCTCTGAAACGGGTAAACGGATTGTAACCATCTTTTGTACATAACTTCTTAAGGATTAGTTTTAATTTGTTCGACAATAAAATAACAAAAATAATGGACCGTTTAAAAATTATTTAGGTAAGTATGAAAACACTTCAATACGTCCTAACACTTTAAATAAGACCTCTAAAGACTTACTTCAAACGTTATTCTATTGCTTGTAACTACCTTCAAATGTATACGAATTTTCGTAAGAATACTGTAAGTGACTAAAAAGTTATGATGGAATGTAGCTCTCCACGTTCACGATCACAATGTGTGCGGCCTTTTTTGGCCACCGATAAACCTGTGTGTGGATATATAAACTGAATGTTATGCCAATAATTAGTTGTTTAGTTCAGTTGTCTACCTGTAAAATTTCAGCGTAGTACATATAATAATTTACGAGATAATCAAATAAAAGTCATTAGAAGGTGCAAGTCCGTGGTAATCCGACCATGTTTAGGTGGTTACAAAAAAGCGATCACGCAGTACATTGCGCTGTCTTTTAAAATGTTTAGTGTTATACACCTTACGATTTCGGTACAGTTGCGTACAGTGTTAAATACATTCAATATTTATTCATTATTATTGCCTATTATTTATTTTGTTTTTTTTTCCTAATTGATCTTAAGCACTAGTTTCTTTACTTAAAATTTCTTTAGTCTTTTTAGCTACCGGAGCTACAATCAACAGAAAATCTGCACTGGTCTTCTAAAATTATAAATATGTAGATACATGTATGAACGATTCACCTGACTTAAATAACTCGAAAATTTAAACCAATAAGAAATCGTTTCATTTCTTTGATTTTTTTTTGTAAAGAAATAACACTAAAGTAATTGTATTTTATTTTGAGGTGTATAGAGCTTAGACTTGAATGCATCAAATTCAAAATATTTAAAGCAACAAGTCATCTACAATAAGTTAAAATAGACCGAATAGTAGAAGAATACAGTTGTAAATTAGAATGCATCAACATTGCATCGCCCAACAGTAGTATACCTCGTAAGAGTAGGTAATATTGTTCTGTGGTCTATACCGAGAACCGAGAATTATCTATACCTATGTACCTACCGTTAAGCGTTGAGCCCGTGACTGTTGATTTCTGTTAAAAACGAACAGTTGTTGAATGATATTTTGATATAATAACGGTATCTAATTTAATTTATCGAGTGAAAGTGATACATTTTTATATAGATAAAATTATTGGTCAGATAATATTTGTCAATCAAGAATCGCCGATAATACATCCTTCGCTAGAACGCGGGAGGGGAGGGGCGAAGGGATACTACATTGTTTGCAATTTGCATCTAGTGCACTAAACTTGACCCTTAGGCAGATAATATACGTCTTGTAAAGTGCGTGTGCGCTTTCGCTTTCTATTTTTGCAAATATTTATTTCTTGAGAGTTCTTCAATATGTGTGTACCTAATTACTAATAATGGGCATTAATGCTAATTCGATTCAATTTAAGTAATTGTCAATTCTTGTCTTAGGATATTAATTACTAATGCTAATATTGAAATTTCGTTCAGGGTGAACAAATTAAAAACGATCATAACTTGTAGGTAGGTATATCACTTATTACTAATTTTACATAAATAATTTATTTTATTATAATTTAACTCACCGCGATTTTGTGATCCAATATTTTATTTCCTCCAACATTATTACAGAAATAATGCAATACAGAGTTTGTTCGCGATATGCTAGCCTAAGTCGATTCATCACTTTAAAAAAATCCCCATCTATTCACAAAATACTTATTTACAACGCATACGTTACACTCTTCAAAACTTATCATTTCATTTCATTTCATTTCATATTTCTTAAATTACCTATACCTACCCTAAAATTAAACTTCAATTAACAAATACTACGCAGGTACCAATTCTATGAACAACTATAAACAATTCACCTAAACATTACGAGAAAACAAAAGCATTCAAAACAATACCTAATCTCCCGGCTGATTACTAATTATAGTAATTATGCAATAAACAATCCTAAATAAAAAATATTTAAAAAACATGTAGTTTTTTGTAACACTTATGTACATATCCGTAGTAAACTTGCAAATAATATCCTACATATTTTAAAAGCCAGCACAATGTACTGGGTGATGGCTTTTTTGTAACCACCTAAACATGGTCGGGTTACCACGGTCTTGCACCTTCTAATGACTTTTATTTGATTATCTCGTAAATTATTATATGTACTACGCTGAAATTTTACAGGTAGACAACTGAACTAAACAACTAATTATTGGCATAACATTCAGTTTATATATCCACACACAGGTTTATCGGTGGCCAAAAAAGGCCGCACACATTGTGATCGTGAACGTGGAGAGCTACATTTCATCATAACTTTTTAGTCACTTACAGTATTCTTAAGAAAATTCGTATACATTTGAAGGTAGTTACAAGCAATAGAATAACGTTTGAAGTAAGTCTTTAGAAGTCTTATTTAAAGTGTTAGGACGTATTGAAGTGTTTTCATACTTACCTAAATAATTTTTAAACGGTCCATTATTTTTGTTATTTTATTGTCGAACAAATTAAAACTAATCCCTAAAAAGTTATGTACAAAAGATGGTTACAATCCGCTTACCCGTTTCAGAGATCCAGCAAACCCACAAACGTTACTCCAGCAGGATTTCGAATAACTTCGCAGCCGAAGAAAATACAAATACCAAATAAGTTGTAACATTTACCTAGTCCAGATAACTAATTATTTAGCTAAAATTTATTTCAATATTACAATTAAAAAAGAAAATGTCTGGCTGCGGTAACGTTTCAAACGTTACTCCAGCAGGAAATGTTTTTTTGAAATAACTAAAAAAGTTTAAGTGAAACAAATTTAAAAATGTGCTTAACAATTACAGAAGGGGAGCAACTAATTATCTATAAAGTTTAAATGACCATTTTCGACATTATTTTGCTGGGGTAACGCACACTAATAGCTAAGAGGCCGGCCTTGAGGTCAAGCGGTTGCAGTTTCGAACCCCAGTACATTAACAAATCCATCCCGAACACAAGTATTTGGCTTAGTTAGAGGGCTTAACTAGGATACTAGCACTGTTAGCTCGATAATTATACATTTTAAACATTAATTTCTTGGTAATTCACCAGCACGGGGAGCCAGTCAGAATCGTAGTTAATTTTACATTTTTTAATTTTTTAACATAGTTATTTTGTCTATAAGTACGAAAAACTATTCTTTTGTGGTTTATTTCTTGGTTATGAAGATTTTAAATTATTTACATCAAGTCCGAAAGACGTCATATTTCAAATAACCTATATTCATATAGGTAACACAAGGAGAGCAAGAAAGAGTACGTTTAGAAAGGGATAAACAATATTATCCATTGGTCGTTAGGCTCGCCTTAACCTGGACCTGCATAGAACAACTAAATGACTGATCGTTTTATAGCTTTCTGGGATCCATTAGATGTATGTTTATCCTGTTCAAGGTGAATGGTCTATGTGAGATCTTTCACCTTGACCGGGATAAACATACCAGGATAAAAAATGCAAATTCATTCATTTTTTTATCCTGGTATGTTTATCCTTCACGTGCATTTTTAGACCTTTGTAATGAAGACAAGGATGCTGTATTGAGTAGAATTGTTACTGGAGACGAAACTTGGGTTCATCATTATGAACCTGAGTCGAAACAAGACTCCATGCAGAGGCATAAAAAGGGCACAGCACCTGCCAAGAAGTTTAAGGTGTCACAGTCAGCTGGGAAACTCATGGCAACGGTCTTTTGGGACTCAAAAGGAATATTATTGATCGATTATAAAGATAAAGGTGTTTCTATAACCGGAGAATACTACGCTTCAATATTAGAGCGACCAAAGAAGCCATTAAAGAGAAAAGACGGGGAAAATTGACAAAAGGTGTGTTGCTTTTACACGACCGCCGCCGCCGATTTTGAATCACCCACCCTACAGCCCAAACCTGGCCCCCAGCGATTATTACCTGTTACCAAAAATGAAAAAAGAGCTGCGGGGTAAAAAATTTACCAACGATGATGAAGTCAATGAGGCAGTTTCGGCGTATTTTGAAGACAAAGAGAAAACATTTTTTTATGAGGGTATAAACAAATTAATTGAAAGATCTGAAAAATGTATCCGTCTTGCAGGTGAATATATTGAAAAGGAAAAATAATTTGTTTTTTTTATTTCCACCCCTTATCCCCCATTCCGCGAACATAAAAACGCTCCCTCTTATATGCAGGGGCACCCCAGTCCCAGCTTCCCCCTCTGGACCTCAGGACTGATCAAGAAGAGCGATTCGAATCGTCGATAGCCAAAAGATCTCCAACCGGCTAGTTCCCTTGGCGTTTCGTAGAGAGATGTATCTTCACTCTGTATTCTCTATCGTATATATCATGGTAAGTGCTCCGAGGAATTGTTCGGACTAATACTGGCCGTAAATTTCCCCCATCGTCCCACACGGCAAAGTTGTCATCCTCACCACTTGTATAATTGGCTCTCCACGAATGTGCACTTTTTGAGACACTTTTTAATCTGTGGAACAAGTTATCATCTGCAAAATTGCTGGACCGATACGACCTTCAAACCTTCAAGAAAAGAGCGTACTCCTTCCTCAAAGGCCGACAACGCACTTTTGACTAGACATGGAGCAAATTCACAGAGAACTGTGATTTATCATTCGATTTTTGCATAAGTAGGTTAGGGTAGCTAGGTACGCACAGATTACCCTCTAATAGATTCCGCATATAGGGCAACAAACACATACTTGCTACACATCCATTTTAAAAATAGGTGAAATATATATTTAAAAATCAAATATACAAATCTGTGCCCTTTTTGTGATTTTTACATTTTTAGAAAAATACTTATTTTTTTCTGTCTTACTCACGTTCTTTTATCTACTACAGTTTCGTGTAGTGCGTTTATATTAATTTTCATAGTTATTAATAATTACAGTTATATAACTTTGAATAGATCCTAATCTAAATTTCTAAATAAAAAACCGAATTTAAAAGACCAAGATTTTAGCAAACTGATACCATTCAACCAAATTATGAAAACAGGTTTTGAAAATTTGGGGTAGTATTTTTATCATTTCTTTGAATAACTTACACACTATTACTGAAATAACTACAAACATATTCTAATGAGTTATTAGATATTTGTACTTAATAAATATCAATTGACACGTAGACAGCTTATAGGTGCAACATAATTTAACTGGACTTGTATGATTTATCACATAATTTGAGCATCTATTAAAAATGAAAAGGTATATCTCACCGATTTTTCAAGAATTATTTTAAAAGTATAACATTTAACACAAAAATTTAAATGTACAGTGAAACGGAAAAGGAGGTACTCAAATTTAACTTAGCTCACATAGATAGCGAACTAGAATTTTAAAATCTTGTTTTTTTCTCCTGTAAAGTATTGATTTTTACTTGTATCACTTTACACAGGAGGCACAGAAATATATAACGCATTGTTTTATTTTTTTAATAAATATCAAATAAACATTGATCAATATAATTATTTATCAATAATCAATAAATCTAGAATAAACTAAATATCAATAATTAATAATATATATTATGAAGGGAATGGTTATATTATAAAATAATTACTAGATTTTCTGTTGAATAGGCGAAATAGGGTTTTTACGCATTGTCTGAAAACAGCTTATTGGCAACAACGCGTGAGTAAGTAGTAACCCTAACCTACGTACGAAAAAATCGAATGATAAATCGCCGGTGTTTCACAGTTCACTGTGATTTTGTACCATACCTACTTGTGACTCCTGAGTTGCAGACGTTCATGGGCGGCGGTGGTCGCTTTCCATCAGGTGACCCGTTCACTCTTTTGGCCCTCTTCCATAAGAAAAAAAAGGGATCTATTTCTATACAGGTCCAGGCTGACTCAAGAATTGAACTGTTCATTGAGTAATCGACTATTTATTTTCTTACTACGGATATTAAGAAAATAAATCCTCGATTTCTCAATGAGCGAAAAATATAAACCAAAATATGGCATCTGGGAGCAAATAAAATAAATTCTGACATGAACAGTTATATTTTTCAATTCCATACCAGAGTGCTCATATAGTTTGAATAGATACACCGTCTACTGTATGTGAACATTACCGGGCTTTGAAATGATAGGATGTCGTTATCGTAGATATGTCTTCTGCAAAAACCACTGCACTCCCTTCTGACAGATGATCATACTAAATTTAAACAATTCATGCGCAATATATGTGAATTTAAATGCATGGATATAATGCATTCATATTGATTATTTGACCTTTTTCAAGAGCACGCAACTTGTTGAGCTGGAGCTGAGCTAGTCGTCAAGCCACATTCAACATTGAAGGCCAAGTTGAATCTCTGGCATGAAGATAGCTGACATACTGGTCCAATGAATACAAATCTCTAAAAGATATGTAACGTTCCCAAAATGGCCATATAATCTTTTAAAACTGTCCACGTGTGAAGTAGCTGTTGTAATAGCTGGATAACAGTTTCTTAAGAAACAGTATGTTGCATAATTGTGACAATAATTTAAAATGGATATCGGTTGCACAGATCTTACCTATGAGCGCTTACAATTTACCTAATGTTTCTAATCGCTTCGACTCGTGGTGACGCTATATTAGTAGCTGCATCGCTTTCATGCAAGACTGCAGGGGATTTCTTATTTAAAAAAATATTGTATACTATTTTATGTATATTAGAATAATACTTACGCGGAAGAACCACGTTTTATGAAAATCTTTCTTGCATTTACTGGTAGGCTTACCTGTTGAAGTTTAAATTGAGTTAAGTTCTTCTTAGTTAGAGTATTCTTATAAGATAAAAAATAACTGAAAAATATCTTACTTCATCTAGCTTTTCTGCGGCAGAGACTATAATCTGTTTAGTCCCACTAACTGGACAAATATCCCCATCATCGAAATGACGGATGGCTCCCGTCATTTTAACAGGCAAAGTACTGGCAGATCCCTTAAAAACAATTATCTGTATAGAAGAACCTGTATATGCAAATTACTGCACAAACAATATCTACATTATTCTTACATTTTATTGCATTTTTTTTTTATTGTGACTTAAAATGAAGAAAAATTTAACAAGAATAATATTAAAATAATGAAAATAACATGGTAGTGACACATCAAGAACTGGGTAGTTTTACATGATAGTTATTATAGATAGATCTATATATCTCTAAATATAAATATTATTTTACTAATAAAATTAAAGCAATATGTGTCATGATGTGTGATGATAAATTGTTTTATATGTTTAAGGGACTTACAATGTTCTCAAGACCTCTTATGTGAAGTGACTTTGCTGTTTCTGCAAATGACGTGAGATATTCTGCAGGCACAACAGCTTCTCCAGTGTAAATATATTCTAGTAGTAAACATAAAACTCGGTGTGATACATTCTGAAAATAGTTTAATTAATGCACATAGATATAATCATTTAGTACTCTCAAGTACTTTGGTGTTTTGTTTTTTTTTTCAAATCAAATAATTTATTTTGCGAACATGGGTTTACATATTAAGGTGTTAATAAAGGTAACAATGAGCAGCCACATTCTACCTCAAGGCATGCAAAAAAAAAATTTTTAGTTTTTACAATAATACATAATAAAAGAAAAATATAGGTATGTTAAATTTGTGTAGTCAATCTATGATACAATACATTTTAACAAACAAATGTCAGCAATTTCATGTCAAAAACATGATTCATTGAAAGTCAGTAACACTATTTTTATTTTATGTATACAATATATGTATACAAGATATTTTTTAATTTATTTTTAAATAAGTCAAAATTAATTTTTTTACTGTAGGATGGCAGTTTATTATAAATAAATAGCAAACTTTTACACATCATCCTTGTTTTAGCACTGTGTAAGCGCAATCTATTGTTGTTGCGCCTGTTTCTTTTTACAACGTCAGATAGGCGCTGAAATAGGTTAGGATTTTTGTGTACGCAAGAAGTCACCTCCAGTATGTATAGTAACGGTAGCGTCAGATCGCAGACCAAACATGGCTCAAACGCAACGTTTCTGAGTCTTAAAAACCATTATGCTATTTGTTGAGTTACCCCAAATTTATTGTGTATCTATGTTTATGTGATTATATAATGTAAACGACAAACAGTAGACAGACTCATTACAGAGGCCTATCTACAACAGTGGACTGCTAAAAGCCGATGATGATGATGAGCGCTCAACAATGACAAAAGTTTGTTATATGTGTTGCTGCCCTAGTCACATCTGTTCTATTTTCTTTCAATTTCAATTTCAATAAGTAGTAAGGGATTTCTTGAAAAAAAAGTAAGGCGCAGATTGCATCTGGTCTACACTGGCCCTAATATTGCAGTCACAAAGTTTAACAGTAAATAATGCTATGTACTAGACTTGCAACGAATATTCGGTTACTATTCGGTATTCGGCCTATTCGGCTGCTTTTCTTATATTCGGCCGAATACCGAATATCTACGTATTATTCGGCCGAATACCGAATACTTAAATAATATATTTTGTCATTGAGAAATAATTGGTAAAATGAAAAATTAAAATCATTATATCATCATATATATTCATATTTTCATTTCTGTTATAATCATTTAAGTAGTCATTGGTGCATAACACAGATACATAATCATCTTCTAAATTGGAAAAATGGAGGATTCTATGTATTTGAATTATTGTGGTAATCAAAATTTAGAAGGGTAAGGATCTCATTTCTTTTATAATCATTTATTAAGTAGTCATTGGTACATAAAACAGGTACATAATTTAATTCACGTCTGTACAAGTTTTTGGCGCTAAAATCCAGCCGAATACTTATGCCTAATATTCGGCTATTCGGTCAGGGGCCTCGCCGAATATTCGGTATTCGGTATACTGCCGAATATACTATTCGTTGCAAGTCTACTATGTACCTAATAAAACACTGTCTGTTAGGATTAGGATTCCAACTTACATTTAAGAATATAATAGGATGTTGACATGCAGCCGAAGTAATAAGATCCTTGAGGTAAGGACTAGCTAATGCTACCAACATCTGATGAACTTTTACGAAATGGCCATCTGCTGCTATAGTCATATCAACAAATTCACCATTCTGAAAATGAAACATTGATTACACTTTGCATACTACGGCCAGGTCTTGTAGATTTGTTGCTTATTGTGCAATATTTTTGACAGCAACCAACAGAATAAACAAACCCTAACTTCTGTCACTGTACTGTACTGTAGCTAAACTATATACCAATCTCATTATAACTACAAAATTATCTAGAATATCATTTTTTTTTAAATCAATGGTACTCCGAAGAGCAATTTATCAATAAGATAATAAATAATCTAGTAGAATTTGATATATAAAAATGTTAAGTTGGTTTATATATGCTTCAAAAAATTCTACACTGATTGAGCTCAAATAATGACACAATATACAACCCGCTTCAAAGATGATTTTGATCCATTTTCCTGACAGTTATATACCTCATTTCTCATCAATGCAGCCACAATATGCCACAGCATAGCATCGCAGGGTACAGCTAGCTTAAGTGTGGGCAGCTTCCAAGACAGAGGGTGAATAGAAGTTATTTTTTTGGTTTCAGTAGAAAGTTATCTTATTTTATGTCTAAGTTTAGCAAAGGAAGAGCAATACGTACAAATATGTTACAAATTTGAATAGTGGAACCTTGATTTAAAATAAGTACTAACCATAAAATTACTTTGTGTTTAGCACATTAAGTATATATTTAATGTAAAAATTCGTTCCAGATGCTGTACTAAAAATTTATGTCAATTTTTAGGAGTTCTTCACCTTAAAGAATACCAACCTGTTGTAAAGAACTAAATCCATTGCAGATATTTGCTTTATAAGAGTCCCAGGATAGAGAAAATTGTGATTGCACCATTGCTATAACAATTATTTAGATGTTTGTAGCAATGATATAGTAAAGTTTTCAATGCTTCTCTTGTAAAATTCTATTGTTTATTTACAGAAATTCCGAGAGGCTGCAACAATTCAATTCAATCATAATATATTTTTCAATGAAAGCGTTGTGTGTGACATATAGACTAGGGATGGCGATCTGCAATCGAAAAATCAAAAGATCGATATTTTTAATAGAAGTGAAGCACTGAATTTCAACTGACTGAAAACAAAAATTATTTTTTTCTGTGTTGATAAAAACGAAAACTACAGCTAGATATTTTGAGTAGAAATAGCCATGGAGTTGTCAGTGCTTTGTTTTTTCGATTGCTGGCAAATGGCAGTACACTTGACAGGCTTGTTGTTTCTCAGACTTTAAGCATTGGGAATTAAAAAAACTATAACTATCTTTAAAAGTTATAATATATATATTTTCTAAACTTTTGTTACAAGTAAAAGAAAACAAATGTCTTAGCCTACTTAATACGTTGGTATATTATTATACAAACAATTGTAATTGACTTCCTTGAAAGAAAGACTCCCCGAGACTCAATAGTTACAAGTGCGTTGCCTAAAATCAGGAGGAATGGACAGACTTTGGTATCTTTCAGTTCGAACCGTCCGATTTGTGCTGATATGATATTATAACCCCGCTCACTATTGCAAAAGAAATACATTTTGCAAAAAAATAGTGATACTCGGTTGCTATTGGTCGTAATGTAATGTTACATATTACATACATTCATATCCTAGCCTTTCTCGATAAATGGGCTATCCAGCACTTAAATTATTTCATTTCGTCAATTTGCACAAATAGTTGATGAAATTGTTAAGAAGGTTATATACATCAGTTACAAATTGTCTATCTTTAATATGATGATGTTACCTAGCAACTGTTGTTAATTTGTAGTCAAGAATAAATTTGTCAATAACAGAAACTTGCTTTCCATAATTATATTTTATTTTATTATATTAAAGTGGTAGCAGAGCGTAAACAATGGAGCAAGCATTAAATGCGAGTAAGATTCAAATTGGGAAACTAGATTCCAATAATTATAAAACATGGAGATTCAAAATTCTAATCGTGCTAAAGGCAATACCAGGAGGCATGTTCATCCTCGAAGGGAAGAAGGTAAGACCATCCTTGGCGCTTTCGGCTACTGGCGATGCAAAGGCTAGTTATGAAAAAGACCTCCAAAGTTTTGAAAATTTGAATAGCGCAATTTTAATTCTGTTGACAACAAACATGTCAGATGATATTTTACAAAAGTTTTTGCGATTTGATTCTGCTAAAGATATGTGGGATGAGCTAGAGCGCGGAGGTACGTGTGTAGACAAGACATACAACTTATGCCTGAAATTCTTCAGTTACAAAAAGGACCCAGAACATGACATAATTACACATGTGTCAATTTTAAAGAATATTTGGAGCGAGCTATGTACGGAATTGCAAAGTGAAACAAAATTACCTGAAATTCTTTTAATATGCAAGATACTAGATACATTACCTCCAGAATATCTTGGTTTTAAGTCCAGTTGGCTGTTGATTTCAAAAATGGAAAGATCAGTTGAAAATCTGACAAGTCAATTGTGTGCACAAGAGAGAGTCCTGCGTCAAGACACAAATGTCACAGAGGAGACTAGTGCAGAAGCTTTGTATACAAAAACAAATAAGGGTAAGAAAAAGAAGAATTTTAACGAGCCTAAATGCAATTATTGCAAGGAAAAGGGACATAGAGTTAGAAATTGTAAGCGGTGGATCCAAGATGGAAGGCCGCCCAAGGAAACCAAGACCGCAAACACGAACCTGACTGTAATGACAATAGATTCGGCTGATTTTGGAGAAAGGAAAGATTTAGAGAATTGGTTCATTGATAATGGGGCTACCAATCATGTTACCAATCGAAATGATCTCTTTCAGACCTTCAAATATTTCAAGAGCCGTCATACAGTGACTGGCGCGAATGGCCAATATATTGAAGCCCTAGGCATCGGAAATATTCTTGCAGAGGCTGATGTAAACGGAAATGCAATACCGATACTACTGAAGAATGTCTGGTACGTACCCAGCATTAGCAGGAATTTATTTTCAGTACTTGCAACCCACGACATATCTGACAACAGTGTTTTTGAATCTACCACACTAAAATGTACACTAAAGATTGATGGACAGGTAAAGCTGATTGGCACCCGCAGCAAGTTTGGAGGACTCTTTAAAATTAAAATAAGATGTCTGGAACCAACTGTACGAGTCAATCAGGTGTCCACAAACACAAATTTGTTACAGCTATATCATGAAAGATTTGGACATCAAAATAAAAGCCATGTGAAGAAGGTGATTGAAAATGAGTTTCATATAAAAGTACCAGTAACCAAGGAACTCTGTGAAGGTTGCATCTATGGCAAATCCCATAGACTTAAGTTTGGGACCCGAGAGAAAGCAACGAGACCTGGAGAACTTGTATATGCTGATGTTTGTGGACCCTTCCCATATTCTATCACAAAGTTGCGATATTTTGTTCTCTTCAAAGATGATTATACAAGGTACAGATTTGTGTATTTTATGAGGGAAAAAGCAGAAGTACACGCGAAATTGCTACTTATGCTTACTGAAGTAAAAGCATCAGGAGTTGTCATAAAAGAACTTCTTAGCGACAACGGTGGTGAGTTTGTCAACGCGAAGGTACAAGCTACTCTCAAGAAGGAAGGTATTGTGCAAAGATTGACAATGCCCTATACGCCACAACAAAATCCAACAGAGCGAGACAACAGGACCGTTGTGGAAATGGCGCGGAGTCTAATGTACGCACATGCAAAAATTCCTCCTGCACTTTGGGCTGAAATGATATCTGCTGCGGTGTACATCTTAAACAGAACAGGCCCAACCTCTGTGGATGGAAAATCACCGTATGAGTTATGGCACCAGAAGAAACCCAGACTGAGTCATTTAAGAATAATAGGATCCATTTGTTATCCACATGTTCCCAAGCAAAGACGAAAGAAGTTAGACAAGAAGGCACAAAAAGGAATATTAATTGGATATGACTCTGACAATGGCTACCGTATTTGGGACAGCAACTCTTTCAAACTGATTCGTTCCAGAGATGTCACTTTTAATGAGAATCCTTTATTGGGTCACTTTGAAGAGATTGACGAGCCTGTTGCCAATCAGAACAAAACTGCTGATAAAAATTCCAACACCCTGTTTGACTTCGTCATTCCTCGTCAGCATGAATGTTACACGCCGGCCGACACGAGCAACATCCAGCAGACATTGACAAGTCATGATGAAAGTATCGCATCGTCTTCTCAGCAAGATGAACATGCTGCTGAATCATCATGTGCAGAGATTGAAACTGCGAGTGAAGATGACGTGCCAGAGGCTGAAACATTTTTAGAGGCGGAGGAATCCTTTTACGAGCCTATACCCGAAGAAGAGGTTAGCGATGTAATCGAGACAGATCGTCAAGTCAACGATATAAATGAATCGAGGCCAGACTGTAGAGACGATTCGTCTTTATCTGCATCTGAGATCGAGGCTGAAGGCAGGATGACGCTACGAGACCGATCAAATCTCAGGCCACCGGCTAGATACAAAGACTTCATTTGCAACATTTGTATGAATGGCAATTCGATAAGCGATGAAAATCGAAAAGAGCCAAGTACATTTCAAGAAGTGATGGCATCTAAAGATTTTGATGAATGGAAAAAGGCAATGGATAATGAAATTAATTCTCTAAAAGAAAATGAAACATGGGAAATGGTAGATTTACCCAAGGGCAGAAAAGCGATCTCAAGCAAGTGGATTTTTAAGATCAAGACGAATCCTGACGGATCGATTGATAAATACAAAGCCAGACTTGTAATAAGAGGTTTTTCACAGAAGAAGGGTTTAGATTATTATGAAACCTTTAGTCCTGTTGCAAAGACAAGTACCATAAGAGCATTACTCAGTATAGCTGCTCAAGAAAATCTCTCTCTATGTCAGTTCGACGTTTCAACTGCCTTTCTATATGGCAAATTGAAAGAGGATATTTATATGAAGCCTCCAGAAGGATATTCAAACAATGATGGTAAAGTTTGCAAACTTAAACGAAGTCTCTATGGACTTAAACAAGCACCGAGGTGCTGGAACTCTACTATTACTGAGCACATCCTCAAAGTTGGCTTCATACAGAGTGAGGGTGACCCCTGCTTGTTTAAAAGAGAGGGAAAGAACAAGTTATTAATAGCTTTATATGTTGATGACGGATTGATAGCGTCAGCAAGTTCAAAAGAAACTGAAAAGTTTTTGGACGAAATGCGTCAACGCTTCAAAATCACAACGAAATGCGGTTCCTATGTTCTTGGAATTGAAATAGAACGTAAAGTTGATGGGTCAATCAAAATTGATCAAAAGAGCTATGCAAAGAAGCTACTGCAAAGATTTGGCATGCAGAATTGCAAAGCTGCAGTAACCCCAATTGTTAAAGATAACGTGCTAGCTTCGAAAGACAATACGGATATCCATGACTTTTTGTTGCAGTTGGAATAGTGTCACGGAAGCTAGATAATCCAACATCAGAAGATGTAGCGAGAGTTAAGCGAATTCTACGCTATGTTAAAGGCACCCTAGAGTATGGTATAACTTACAAATCTTCCACTGTAGAACGAGGCTTAAGATGCTACAGTGATGCTGATCATGGTGGTGATGAGACGACTGGACGCTCCACCAGCGGCATGATTTGCCTCAACGCCAATGGTGCAATAGCATGGCAGAGTAAACGTCAGACTACTGTCGCAATATCTTCTACAGAAGCTGAAATAATTGCAGCAAGTGAGGCCGCCAGAGAAGTTATATGGCTTAAACGGATCATGAACTTCATGCAGAGTAATACTCAGAAGGAGATTATACCACTCTTTATAGATAATGAATCCGCTATAAGATTAGCTTATGATCCACCTTACGAAGCACACCAGCGAACAAAGCATATAAGGCTTAAA